CGTAAGGTTGAGGCCTCACTTCTCTCACCCAGCTTAAAAGACGCTACGAATCTTAGCAGCGTTCATTGAAGCTCTGTCGTCCCGACAGTTTTGTTCCTTCACCTGAAGAAGGCTACTTGTATTGTGGCCTAAACGTCGTGAGAATCTTATTGTCTTATTTTATTTTATTATTTTACTCTCATTCTACGTGACTTTACCGAAAGAACCAAAGAAGATGAATCCTTGCAGTCACGAAAGCTTTAAATCGAAATTCAACATTACATAAACAACAAGAGTAGGTGATGTTTGAAAACTGACATATTTCTGTATGTACAGTATAAATACTGGTATTGCAAAAAGCCTACGGAGAATATTACACATTATTGAGCAGTATGGGACTCAACTATTACATAACCAAATATATGTAAATGTAGTACCGTGACACTGTGCTCATTAATTACCCAAGTGAATGATGAGATACTTGAACATAACTCCCATGAAGAGATACCTTTCTACACATACATAAACGCTGCACCAAATTAGATCTCTGAATTGAACAAGTCAAGGTTAAATAGGATGTCGATGTGGTAACAATTTTAGCATAACCTGTGTATTAAGAGGGGCACCGTTGCGAAATGTCGGGGCACGTCCGTCCGTCGTCGTTTGGAATGAGTTTTGAAAGGCAGCTTTGGCTCATAGTGCCCGGTGGTCTTAATGCACTGAAAACATTTTTAGCTTGAAGAAGGCCTTCATGCGTGTAAGCGCAGCTCGTGCGAAAGTCACAGGGCAGATAGGAGCTAGGCTTTTTATGTCTAAATAAACAGCGCTGTAGTACAACCGTGGAATCTCTTTATTGAAAGTCGAGTCAAGGTTTCCTCCGGTGGAGTGCAGCCAGAGAGCCGTGTACTGCTCGCCTCCCAGCGACTACAGCCTCTCATTCCGGTGACGTGTGTCGGTGTTTCTGTCCGCGTTGGTCGGTGCAGCCTCTGCCCTTGTGTGTCGCTAAAGCTCATGTGATCAGTCTTCCAGATTGTTTTCTAAATATACTCGCACGGTCTAAAGCCCAAACGACAGAAGCACAACTGTCTATGATGCCGAGGTGGTGGTGGTGGGGGTTTCGTGTGTCCCTTGATGGCTTTCCGAAGAGTATCCGTTAAAGGAGTGAAGGCGACGGTAAATGTAATGCCTCACTTTTTAAACTCTTTTACCGTGTTCGAAAAAGTATCCCCTCGGTTACCCCGTGTCTGACCTCGGTGCTTTTTACCAGGTATGTTACTCAAATGTTAAAAGGCTTAATTTTCTATCGAGGACATTAGTAGGTGAAATATTCTATTTGACCTGATATTTTGGAATTCAATCTCCTAAAACGAACTGGATGCACAAATCACGAGCCAACCTCGGTCCGTATAGGCAGTTCGTAATTATTTTTTTAATCGTACATACGATTTCTTCATTTAAGAGTATATTAGGCAATAGTAGTTTGCTAGCATCTGTTTTTATTTTTAAGATACGGATATCTGGATAGGCATTGCCTCTGGAGAAGCGTTGGAACTGGAGTGTGAGAAGCACTACATATGCTGAATGTTCAAATAAACACATTTTTTCTCAGCACTAAAGGCACAACACTACAAAAGCAGACTTTATATATTTATTTTCTTCCATTTTTGACACCATGCCATTAACAAAATGCAATTTTAGCTTTCCCCCCCCCCTCGCATGTGCAATCCTTATGCCAGAAAAAATTGTGGTTAAATTTTTCTTAGCTTAAAGCACTCCATTGTTCATAACGTCTGTGCTAGCATTTCGTCCGAAGCCAATGTCTTTGAAGGCTTTCAGAGCAAGGCCATAATATATACATCTGCAAGAATCTAATTCTTTAGTTTAGCCAAAAGTTCCATTCCTGCATCTCTTTGGATGCTCAGATATTGTTTCCCTCATGTACGTTTGCCCAAAGTTGAATCCACTCTCCACGCAGCTCTTTCACATCTCATTCAACCACATCCTTCCATCTCACTCTTGGTCTCCTTTTTATCCTTTTGCCTTGCACCGGTAACATCTCCATATCCCTGTTAATGCCATTTTCTCACTCTGTTCTCAACACATACCCAAGCCAGGTAAGTCTAGCTTTCCATCTAAGTCTAGAGTTGAATAAGGATAACTTCCGCAATGGATGAAACTTCAAATTCCTTTCTATTCGAGATTTTTCCCAACATCTATTTTAGCATGGCCATCTCTGCTGCAAGGATGTTCTGGAGTTGTCTGTACAACTGTTGATCTGTCAAAGTATTCCCATACAATGACTTCATGCTTTCCTATTCTTAGCTCTTTAGGTAAAGTCACGTTGAAGGGAAACAATAAAATAATAAAAAAATATATAAAGCAATAAAAATTATCACGTTTCGACCATAACGCAAACGGTCATCATTTATTGTTTTATATATGTTATTATTTTATTGTTTCCCTTCAACGTGACTTTACCGAAAGAGCTAAGAATATGAATTACTGCAGTCACGAAAGCTTTAAATCAAAATTTCATGCTTTCCTGTTTTGCGTTGAGCTCGCGCTCCCTTCACAGCCTCCGGAGACACCGAATAGATTGTCCTGTTGGCTGCCCTCTTGTCACCACAATGCTTTTATTATAATCTTACGCTTCTGCTGTAAAAAAAAAAGTGTGCAGTGAAGACGTACATCGTCGCATTAGATCTCAATGCTCCACGCACGTGTGCTCTCCACCTTCACCAACCCACACCGACGAGCTTGGCCAAGTTGCAGGACGGCGTTGGATCGCTGACTCGCTCGCTGGGGATTGTCGTGTGGGTGGATCTTTGCAAGGGTCGGATGTGTGAAATATAGAGAACGTGACCGTTACACCATTGTGCAAACGGCAGTTAACAGCGCGGTGTGGGCGGTTAATTGGCCAGGGCCTTGGGGAGGCCGTCGTCAAGCAGTGGCAAAAGGAGTTCTCGTGCATAGCTGAGCACAGGCGCATGAGCAGGACACCTCACCTCTCGCGCCACTGGGCTTGCAGGTGATGACAGCTGTCCTGGGCGGCTGTGGCTATAAACGGAATGCAGGTCCCCAGCTCATCCGGCGGGGAGCCTCCCTCCCAGAATGCGGTCACTTGTGCCCCGGGCACTCCTTACTTCTGCACCATAACCGTTGTGAGAATGTACACTTAACGTGGAGGATCGTGTGGTGTTGTATCCTTTGACGTCGTGGTTATGACAGTTGAAATTGCGCTCTTGTTGCCGAGTTGCATGGCCTATTGCAAACCGCATGGACACCTAAGTGTTGGCCTTGGACATTGGTAAACATATCCACCATTCTACATAGTAACGGCAGTTTTTGATGCGCGTTTTAATTATTAAGTTTTTGGCTCAAACATCCTGTCCGATCTTGAGCTTGCTTCTTCAATTCACTGCATTAGACCCCTATCCTTTAAGGTAATCAAGAAACAATTTTTCTTTGTCTGCCTCTAGGCCTCTTTATAAAGCTTTCACCTCCTGAAAATGTGCTCAATCAACATCGTTTGTAATTCCTGGATTGTTTCAACTGGACTTTCCTCTTAAACCCATCCTTCATCTTTATATTCTTGGTTCTTTCGGTAAAGTCACGTAGAAGGGAAACAATAAAATAATAAAAATATGCTTGTTTTGTAGTCGAAACGTCGTGAGAATTTTATTGTTGTTATATTTTATTTATTATTTTATTGTTTCCCTTCTACGTGACTTTACCGAAAGAACTAAGAATATGATTCCCTGCAGTCATGAAAGCTTTAAACCAAAATCCATCCTTCATCGTTACTCAAAAACAAAAACCTTTATTTTGAATGATATTGGCCACAAGCCTACGTGTTAAACTCTTATCTCTCCATCCAACCCATATTCTCCCTTGTGACCATGCTCACATCTCAAAATTTCCAGTCTGTTTATGGAAAACTAGCTGTACTACCCGGCTTCGCCCGGGACTTGGATTCACCACGCCCGGCGATGTTCACACACCACACCAGTTACTCGTTTGAGGCTGAGTCGACCTAGGGGAGGCCCAGGACCGGTTAAAATAATCGTCACTGGTGGTGGCCGTGAGCGGGAATCGAACTCGGGTCGCCAGGTTCGTAGCGCGGCGCGTTAACCACTACACTACAATGCGTTACGCTTCCACACAGACAGACACACACACAGACACATACACAGCTTGCTAACCACTACACTACAATGCGTTACGCTTCCACACAGACAGACACACACACAGACACATACACAGCTTGCTAACCACTACACTACAATGCGTTACGCTTCCACACAGACAGACACACACAGACACACAGACACACACATACACAGCGCGCTAACCACCACTACAATGCGTTACGCTTCCACATACACAGACAGACACAGCGCGCTAACCACTACACTACAATGCGTTACGCTTCCACATGTGAGGGTCACATGACAGATTTGACGTCACAGCTCACTTTCCGTGCAATAAAAATATGCGTTATTGAGCTCCCCCCCCCCAAAAAAAGTGTATTTTGATAATTTTTACGTGATGTAAAGTACCCACATGGCAAATTTCATGTTTGTTGCATGTCGGGAAGTACGCTAAACATTTTGAACAGACACACATATTCACAACTTTGCCTTTTATATATATGGAGATTACCATCGTGCACAGGTGTTGTCATACAATTTCGATCACGTCTCGCTATGCCCACACTGTTAAACACACTCGCTTATAGTGGGCGTGGGATTCGCCTCAAATGCACGTTTTCTCATTCATTTGTACAGTTCCTTGTAAAGAAATGCCCCTTGTTGACCCTACATTCACTCAAAGCATACACATTCTTCAGCGGTGTATTTGCACATATGCGCTTACGTATGTTATTATCCATGCCATGCGTGATCTTAACCGTACTCAGTCGCCTGTCTGGCGTGCGCGTGTGTGTGTGTGTGTTCGAGGGTGCGTTTCAGGCTAACACGCTTGCGTGTGCTGTCTCATCTTTTGTTGCTCGCGTTTCACAGGTGACGCCCGGCAGTGTCGCGTCCTCGGCTAACCTGTCTCCCGGCGACGTGATCCTGGCCATCGAGGGGGAGAACGCGGAGGAGATGACCCACGCCGAGGCCCAGGAGCGCATCAAGGCGTGCAGCACTGCCACGCTCACGCTCAAGATTGACCGGCAAGTGCCACGCACGTTTAAAAAATAAAAAAATAATTCCGCACGGTGGGACGTGCTGTGGTGGGGTAATTGTCAAGCACGTGGTGGGGTAATTGTCAAGCACCTACGGAGCCATCTTGTAAATCAGATGTGATGGAGAGGTAGATACCGGACCCAATGAGAGCGGAGCGGTGGCACATTGGTTACCGCGCCGTGCTACGAACCCGGCGATCCAAGTCTGATCCCCGAGCATGGCTAACATCGGTGGCGAGAGTTACATTTGCACCGGTGTTGGACCCCTACTCCCCCATTCATCAACCCGCACTGACCAGTGTGGTTGCGTAGGGTCAAATAAGCACCATGACCTCGCTGCCGTGGGAGGCCTTTATCCAGCTATGGAGCGCCATACATTAATTTAACTATTAGATGGATAGCAAAAACATTGCTGCTATTCGTTCTTCATGTTTAAAAAGTCCACGGCGATTGGCAAAACAGGCGAAACATTATCATACCCTAACACAAAATCATGCAAATGCCCTTCAAAAGAGATACTTCTGAAGTAAACATAATTTACAAGAGGCAACCACTGATTGCCAGTGGCGTTGCCTCTTGTACATTGACCGACAGTTACGTCACTTAGTCTATCGGCAGGTATTTTTTCGTGTCGCATCTGAAAGAGGATGGGAGTGGGAGTGTTCGTCAAGCGTGTGAATGAATGTTCGGCGTACATGCACCCTTGTGCACCAGCTGCCACAGAAACCTGACGGTGTGACGGGTAATGATGCGCCTTCACCTTTTGGACACGTGTCCCCTGGGTGCTTGTTGTGAGATTTCGCGTAAGGTCACGACATCGTGACGAGCTTCCCATGAGGATTCCTGAGGGTTCTCTTATTCTCTCGGCACAAATAATTCGGACGGAATTTTAATGGATAGAGAGGGGAGAGAGAGAGAGAAAAAAACCAACTGCAATTCGGTGCTGTTTATTGTTCCGTGGTGATAAACGGTTGAGCTCACAGGAAAAAACGTTTGCAGCAACAATGGGCGGTAACAAGACAGGAAACGAGTCCACACATGCAAGTGCAAGCGATTACGCATTTACACGCTCCAGCTTGGATGCACTGTAATGAAGGCACATGTATATGTTGGGGGTGTAACGATTCGCTCTCCTCGCAATTGTGTTCCCGTGTTTGTGAAGATGTTAATGCTGCGGTGAATGTAGCAGCCTTTCGTGGCTGACGAATTAAACAAAAAAAAAGTTCTTACACAGGTGGGATGTCTGCTACGTACGGTGCGAAAGAAGTTCAACATTAAAATACAGCACTGAATATAACAAAATTATAAAGCCCCTTTGTGCATGAAATAAACGCAAGTTTCTCCGACCATTTGCAGAGGTGTAATATCAAAGACAATTGGGTAATGATGGGTTTGGAGAGTGAGTCTGCACCCACATACACAATGGGCAACAAGTGTGCATGTAGTTGACGGCCTGGAGTGGATGATGGGGAATAAACCCAGGGTGGCCAGGACTGGTTGGGGTTATATCAGGACAGAGCAGGGTGCTACCAGGGAGTCTTTCTGGCGCCGAGGCTTGAGCTTCTGTGACTATATATTATGATGGTTGAAGTAAAGAACATATAGTCTGTAACCGCGACTTGGTGAATTCCTTTCACGTTTATAGTCCAATACAAATGTGCCTTCTCTATTTTAGCGGGTCCTCGGCATACGTCAAAGTATTCACGATTTTCTCCGTTCCCCTGTCTTTTTGCTCTTCTCTTTATGTCCTTACAATGTCTTCCTTCCTCAATTCATTTAGCAATATTTCCTCTTACAGCTCCTTGTTCTCTTTCCTTCCCTTCATCCCTCACACACATCTCTCATCGAGCGTTCATCGTTTACAATATGGCCAATTGTATTTTGTCTTTATTTGTACGATTCTCTTGCAAACCTGACTTCGCTTGTCTTATCCTAACACGTCTTTACTCGTCTTTCTTTCCAGCCGATCTTTTCTATTTTTTTTGGCCAAATCCACATTTCAAAACCTGTCCATTCTCCCAGCAGTATCCATTCTCTGATGCATGCATTAATCAGTTTCTCGTCAACATTTTCCATCGCGAGCTGTTTCTTCTATTTAAATGCATCTTCGCCCATTGCTGTTCTCATCTTAATATAAAACTGTTTTAGATTGAGTATTTTTTTAAAGATTGTATACTGTGCTGTAGAGATTTTAATGAAATATGACTGCACTGTATGTGGGTCATTTCAGGCCTTGCACACAATAGGCTTGTTAATGGCCAGACCAGTTTTTGTATGGGGGCAGCAGTGTGGAAGCGAGGACGTTGTGTCACGTGTACCCTGTCACAGAGGGCAATGTCCATGTCTGCTCACGGCCACCAACCACGTATGAATGAACGTCTGTCAAACAAATAAGAATCATGTCCAGTATTTTTTCATGCTTACAAATCTGTGAGTTGGAATGTATGCATACTGTATGAACTTAAATTCTTCACATTTTAAATTTTGATTTAAAGCTTTCGTGACTGCAGTAATTCATATTCTTAGCTCTTTCGGTAAAGTCACGTTATTGTTTTCTTCACATATGTTTAATGATATTTTGAACTGCAGTGCTGTTAATGGAATGCAACCAAGCACTGCATTTCAAGGCACATTCTCAATTAGCAGTTGCCAAAGTAAAACATAATCGGCCAAATGCCATTGGCAGCTGATAATCGAGTGCCTTGACAATGTGGAATGCGCTCCAGACGATAGAACTGTGAACATGCACAAGTGGCACTAGACGTGCCCGGGCAGTAAGATAAAGTTCAGTACGCATCCATCGTGTGACCTTATATACTATATTTAGTAAAACCCAACTGCTTGTTGTAATGGCAGGTCGAGTGCTACCCCTTAATATGTGTGGGTATTCGATGGGTATGCCTTTTTCTCCCACGTTAGAAACAATCATAAATGAGAACACATGGCCCTCCTGAAGGAGAGTCTTGAGAAGATACGTTCACGGACAAGTTTCTTAAATTGCGTGCCTCTGTCCTCCCAACAGGTATAAATGGGTGCACCGCAGTTAGTCTATCAGCAGGTGGTTTGTGGTGGGGTAAAGTGTGGGGTACTCCCTCCTCTTCCAAGGCTAGGAGGGGTGTTCTACAACTCCATCTAGTGGAGGCTCTTCCACCAGCAGTGGCTTGAGCAAGTCATGGCAGATCTGCAACTTTACATTTCATATTTTATAACACTTACCTTTATGTAATACTGTTAATGATGTCACTCTTCAGTGTTGATCCAAATAGCAGAGAAAAAGTGCTGTATTACTTATCCTGCACGTAGAACTTGAACCTCCAACGCATGTGCTTTACATCGCCCCCATTCATATTCTTGGTTCTTTCGGTAAAGTCACGTAGAAGGGAAATAATAAAAATATAAAACAGTAAAATTCTCACGACATTTCGACTGCAACACAAGCACTCATCATCAGGTGTGAAAACCACAGCAAGAAAATTTGAATTTTTTTTATATTATTTTATTGTTTCCCTTCCTCGTGACTTTACCGAAAGAACCAAGAATATGAATCCCTGCAGTCACGAAAGCTTTAAATCAAAATCGCACCCCATTGTTTGAACATCTGGAACCTTGGAATCTCTGGAAAGTTGATGGGTGTGATAGGGAAAATGCTGCCTGGTCTAGAATTGTTAAAAAATAAGTGCCTGTCAACGGTGTAAAGCTTTAGTTGTATAAAGGGCCAGTCCCACACCCTTGCACTTGAAGCCCAACGTATGTGGCCAAGGGTGTTTAACAAGATCTTAAAGTCCAACTTGAAGGACGCTCCAAATGGTATTTTTTTTAGACCAGTGAGGAGACTCGCAACAAAGGTGATTGTTTGCACGTGCTCGGAACCTATAAACGGAATGGCCTTCCGAGTGAAAAAGATATGGGCCCTGCAGGATAAGTTCTGCGCAGAATGTAAGGGATGCAAGCTGTAAATAATTATCAATAATCAGTTGGCAATGATAGCATGTGTATGGGTTGTGGGTGAATCCTGTATTAATATAACATTCCAAGAATCCTGTGTAAGATAACTTTTGTTCCTGGAAAATTCCGCTGATTAAATGCTTGCATTGCTCTTGGCTTGGATCACAGCCAAGTGAAAGTATATAGTTGCAACTATTAAATTGGAAGTTCTCCTTTAATGCATTGTGATTTATAGACTTCATTACACGTCTGAACGATAGTAATCAACTCAATCAATCATTGTGTTGTTTATTGAGGCAATTTATTTTGTTTATATTTGAGATTAATTGACAACTGTATGCAAAAGAGGTGCCCTTTTAACCTACGTGCAGATTGATACTATAAAGCAACATACATTTTAATTTACTCCCACTTTTAGCATTCCTATTAAAAAATATATTTTCTAATTATGTGCTTAAGAACATAAATTTTGTAAAGTGTGGTTATTGTGCTCCAATAGCCCGTACTTACGTGCACCCTATTCTTTCCAAAGGCTTGCCAGTATTACTGAGCGGTTTGTTTATGGTCACTCAACACACAACTCAAGTTACGTTAGATAGCTCGTACAAATTGAGTTTCAACTAATCAATTATATTTCGGTTAACATCACGTGCATTTCAGAATAATGGGTTGAGGTAATGTTTGAGACACAAGTGCAGGCTTTATTACATGTGGCATTGTCTTTGAGCTGTACGCCTTTTGGCGTCCTCTGGTCTAGCACCAATTGAGACAAGGCTCAAAAGAAAGCCGTCTCTGGTGTGGACCAATCAGTTTCAAGGACAATGCATATATTATCAGTGTGTGTTTGTTTGTATTTTGGCCACACGTATTGTGGTTAATGCACACCATGATTCCTTGTAAAAAGGTTTCAGTTTTGTTGCCAGAAAAAAGGGGAAAAACCCTATTATTACCATATTTTGGTACTGGCAAAGGAGGTCTAATGATGTAAGTGCAGGCTTATTTTACAAAAAAAAATATTGTCCACGTGGAAGTAATGTCATGTA